AAACATGGGCATAGTAACAATATTTTTATACTACATTTATCCATTTTAAATACACTAACCTCACTCATTTTGTAACAACTAAGGCAAAAATGTAATTAATTCAGAAAATCTTTTCAGGACCCCATCTTGATGTTTCGGGACCCCACTTTGGGTCCCGACCCCAACTTTGGGAAACACTGATCTAGAACATCATAACCCACAAACTACAGAGCTCAAAGCATTTATTTTAATCTAAATTCTTTGAATAAATCCTGAAATTCAAAAAGATATTTCCGTCACACGAAACATTCCAAACTTAGCGTCGTAGGTAGCGAGCAAAGCATTTACAGTTCGACCCCAAACAACAGTCTGACCTGACACTGGGTGTAAATCAGCAGCTTTAACACAATCCCAGGGTTTCCCCTACGTGTAATTGATCGTGACGCACCGCCACAGCAAAAATCTTAACACCACACTTTCAGAATAAAGTTTTTTTTAATAATAGGCCTTTATTAGGGTAAAACAATGTAAAGTATATCATATATATGTCTCACCCTCTATCTTATATCTAGTGTTAGATGGTCATATATTGATTCACATCAGGCATATGATGACGATATGGATCTATGCTTTTATTTTGCCTTGATGTAACTGAGTTATTAATCATTTAATCCATATATCAATGAGCATCAATGTATTGTCACACCTCTAGTATAAAGTATGGTGGACATAAAAGTAAACATTTATGTCCACCAGAAGAGTCCTACCAGGACCGCTCTTACATGTCAGCCTCATCCAGAACTAAGCAAGACATCACAAGATAGAAATCACCTTATCAGATACAAAACGCCCTCATAGATAATAAGTTTACATGTACATTTAGTACTCAGTGATGCTAGAATACTAGCACTGATACATACGTCAAAATCTAAGAAATATCATCTTAATCCAACCCATTCTCACTCCAGACTGTTCAACATATTGACGCCTGATCAGGTACCGTCTGTGTCCAGTTTTGCCGTGTCGGGTACTCCCCTCGCGTCAGTTATTAACGCCCGTGGCTTTTCTTTGGGTTTCTTTGTGTCTTTGGGTTGGGGGTCTGTGGTTAATATGAGGTAGGGCTGGGCGATATGGTCCAAAACAAAAAAAATCTTGGATTTTTTTCATACCAAATTTGATTTTCAATTTTAATTGATTTTGCTTCCCACTTAACAGAGTGCCTGTTTCAGGTGTCGAAACAAATTTGTCGTTCTCCTGCTTTTTTGTAGCAAGAGCCTTCAAACAGATTTTGCAGTGAGGTGTTCATTGCTCCAAGTCGGAGATTGTCCAGTTTTTTGAGAGGTAGATCCTCTTTGCTAGCTGCCATATTGTCATGTCGTGTACCAAGCATCTTGAGGGACACGTGGGGTGACCTCTGAACTACAGAAGCCCCCAAGAGTGCACTGGTGAGAAAAAAATCTCAATTTTTCCAAAATTAAATCTTTATAAATAGCAAATTCGAATTAATTGATTAAATCGATTAATTGCCCAACCCTAATATGAGGGATCAGGATTAATAGTTAATTTTAGGAACTGAGGTCAGGGATAGGATGTATAGGGCTAATAGGAGTTAAGTTTAGAGTAGGGGTGTAAGAAAATATCGATACACAGAAATATCGCGATATTTCATTTCTCGATACTGTATCGATATTCTAAAGCCCTGTATCGATTTTTTTTAAGGTTTAAAAGTCAACTTTCCTGCCAGCCATTCATTTTTATGTTGTAGTTCAGCCTCTGACCACTAGTTGGCAGCAGTGAGCCAGCCATTTGGCTCCTCTACCTCTTGAGGWAGAGGCTATTGTTAAGTGTTGGGACCATATTATAAATTAATATTAAACACTAAAAGCTGCAAAAAATATATATATTTTCAAACTATTTATTGTCAAATTTTGTCTAATAATTGAAAACATGGATGAAATAAGAAATATAAAACAAATAAAATAAAACACATACAAAGCAGAACACAGCTAAATGTATCAAAAGCATGTCTATGTAATATTAGAATTTTCTGAGACAATGAATTTTGGTTTTTCATTTTTTTTCCCCCTGTAAGAGGTTTTTATTTAATAGAATTTTTGGACAAAAAAATCACTATATATATCGCCTTGCTTATAGTATCACAATATATAGGGATATATCGTATCGTGACCCCTCTGTCATGATATGTATCGTATTGAAGAAATTTATAGTTATTAAGAGATTAGTACTGATGTTAAAAGCACAACACTATATTGTTAGGTTTTCCTTTTCATAATGTTTAATCTATAATGTGTTGATTGATATAGATTAGTTACATGTCCGAAATATCTATAACAACACATATTTATCCGTTATGAGAACAGTAGGGGAGAATTGTGTTTGAATGCCCGTGATTCAGCCGTAGGTCAGTAGGGGGCGAACACGGGACTCTGAAGACTCTGGATAAATGGATCGATTTCCGGGTTGACCGGCAGTGTGTGGTTTCCTGTCAGATCCGAATGGCATTAAATCCTCACTCCAGAATTCTGGTTTTGTATGGCTTTATCTCGTCTAACAATCATATTATTTAACATTGGTGGTTTTCTACTGACTTCAGTCTTTGAACACGAATATTTCTTACAGTATCGCCAAATTCTTGCCAATACACAGCCCTAGTTTAGAGTCTGGGACGGTTTATTGCCATGCATTTCCTCATCTTTTCAAAAATATGACAACGCGCTTCTCCTCCCATCTCATCTAGTTAATAACTGAAGCGAGGGGGGTACACAACGTGTCCAAAAGTGGATGCAGACAGTACCTGACCAACCATCAATATGTGATGAGTTGGGAGTGAGAATGGGTTGCTTAATCAGCAGTTCTGAGTTTTCTATGAATGGAAAATGTGAAAGTCATTCTCTAGATTTTCCCCGATTTCCAGAGTCGTTGGGAATTGATGGATCCATCCTTTCTAAAATAAATATTACTAAATCTATATAAAATCAACACAACATCCTACTAAAATATAATGAAACACCTTTATCACTGTCCTGTTAAAAACATACTTCACAGTAGAAACATGGTGTTAAAAGGGGTTTTATTCCCACAACTTTCTTCAACATATTATAATGTCAAAACATTTTAGTTTTATTTCACCCAGTGTGTCTCCTTGCTTCACATTTTATCTCAAACACCCTCGAATGCAAAGTGCACCCAAAACTTCCATAGATTCAACATGAATTTTAGCAAAATATTATTTTAAAAACTAGAAGTGAGGATTTATTTTTAAAACTTGTTATATGTCTTACATTAAATGTTGTAGGGGCATAATAACTCACATGTTAACATCAGAAACTTCTGCCACTCATGCTTCAAGGTTTTTTTTATTATCTGACTTTATTTGTTGTTGTGTTTGTTTTTGCACAGCGGTTGATTGAGCCTTATATTTCAGGCTGCATTTTTCTGTCTGCCTCTCATTAACTAAGCTGGTAAGAGGCAGTATTGTGACGATCATCTTGTACGTTTATACATCTAAGTGAAGTTTTTGTTTGTTCGGTGGTTTGTTTAGTTTATTAATAAACTTGTGTTAACATTTTGGGTTGTAGCCTAATTTGAATTTTTTCTAGTAATGTAAAATCACATGAACACCATGAAGACATGACGCTAATGATGTTCGGACACACATCAGTAATAATAATTCACCATGTTTCAGTGAATTAATGTCACGGTAAACTATTAAAACCCACCACACGAGGTTACATCAAATCTAGCAGTATTTAATCGAGTCTATCGTCTCCTGACAGGATGTACTCCTGCCCTGTTTTCACACATACCGAGCCCTGACCCACATGAAGATACCTGCGGGGAGGTGTCTCCGCTGTGTCCGGCGGCCTGCTCGCTCTCCACGGCGCTCGCGGACTCGGATATCCCGCTGTCCTCCTCCGCTGCCGGGTCGTCGATCTCCGAGTCCGAGCCCCACGTCGAGTCGCATTCCTCCACGGTGCTCGGCTCCTTGTAACGCCAGCTGCCCACCAGGTTTCCCATCGACGAACATGCAGCTCCTGCCCCGATTTACGCTCCTTTTAGTCCGCACAGAACGCTACATCTGGCTTGTTTTGGGCGCAGAGCGCTGCTTTTAAAGGCAGAATAATGATGGGGATTTCCAGCTGCTGCGAGGAGGATGTTTTCTGTACGAGGGGCGATTAGTGCCGCCGACAGGCAGGAGGTCTTAAAGACTGTAGTGGGAGGGAACAAGGTCAATAAAACATTATGTTTTTATTGTAAAATATTATTATTATTATTA